AACTAAAATTGCGTTTGGTAGTTTAATTTTTAAAAACATGTATATAATATTTAAACTAATAATATATTAAATAAATATATTAAATAAACATATATAATACAAAAACGGTTTCAGAAAAGAGGGAAGAAAATGAAAAAAAAAAAAAAAGTAAAATCCGTTTTTCAGAAAACAGAAAATGAAAACGAGAAAATGAAAACACATTTTTTTCGTTTTCTGATTTCCACAAAAAGACAAAAACGTTTTTGGTTTTGTTTTTTAAAAAAAATTGCACCAAACACGTTTTTAACACCCGTTTTCATTTTTTTGCTTTGAAAACCGTGAAAAACGAAAACGAAAATGCAAACAAACAGACCCTTTTTTTTCGTTTTCTGATTTTCACAAAAAGACAAAAACGTTTTTGGTTTTGTTTTTTAAAAAAATTTGCACCAAACACGTTTTTAACACCCGTTTTTATTTTTTTGCTTTAAAAACCGTGAAAAATGAAAATGAAAACACAAACAAAGGCCTAATAGTATTCTTACTAAATTCTTTTGAAAAATATGCAGATTTTTTCTTACTCAAAATATAAGCAAAAGGTACTATCATACGTATCCCTGAATAGAAACTAGGGAGACAGTAGTGTTTAATTGGAAAGCAGTGCCGTCTCTTTCCTTCTTCGGTTTGCGCTGCCATTTAACCGCAATAATATATACTGCGTGTCCTTGAAGTTTTCCCGCTCAGGCATTAACACAAACATTTGGCGTACAATCGGCGATAATGAAGTACGTCGTGGTCACCGGAGGCGTGGTCAGCGGCCTCGGCAAAGGCGTCACCGCCAGCAGTATCGGCGTCGTCCTCAAGGCCTGCGGCCTCCGCGTCACCTCCATCAAAATCGGTTCTTCTCTCTCTAGATTCTCAATTTTTGAAATTAGTTTTTTCTGAGTATTGCCTTGTGGATCACAATTCTATTTGGCGTCTTAATGTAGATATAATTTTTTTTTAAATTGCGCAATCATTGCGTTTGGACTTGAGGATTGATCTATGAGTTATGATTTTGCGTTTTGTATTTGTTTCCAGATCCTTACTTGAATACAGATGCTGGAACCATGTCTCCATTTGAGCACGGGGAGGTTTTTGTTCTTGATGATGGTGGAGAGGTATATTACTTTCCAATATCATAGTTTGCTAAATTGTAATGGGATGTAACGAGGGAAAGGGAAAGTCTTTGAAAGGAAAATGAAAGGAAACGAATAAGAAATGAAATTATTGATTTATGGTTTAGTGTTTATTCATTCATTCCTAACTTTAGGAAGAGGAATCCTAACTATCATGGGAGATGTATTTTATTTTATTTTATTTATTTATTTTTTCAGTTCACTGCTTGTATGTGCTTTGACAGGTTGATTTGGACCTGGGCAACTATGAGCGTTTCTTAGATGTGACACTCACAAGAGATAATAACATTACCACTGGGAAGATATATCAGGTACTTATTTTTTTTTTAATTTTATTTTAACGGAAATATATTCCTATCTACTTGAGCTTTTAATAGTTGCTGTGAGTGACAATGGATATCCATTTTTGATCAGTCTGTTCTCGAGAAGGAGCGTAAAGGTGATTATCTTGGAAAGACGGTCCAGGTTAGGCTATGTGCGCACCGGATTCATGCTCTCTTTGCGTCCTTGCTTAGAAAAACTAATGATAATCGGGATTTCATTGGGTTTGAATGGATTCTAGGTGGTTCCTCACATCACTGATGCCATTAGAAATTGGATAGAATCAGTTTCTGCAATTCCTGTAGATGGAAAAGTGGGAACGGCGGATGTTTGTGTGATAGAATTGGGCGGGACTGTTGGTAAGTACTAGCTAAAGCAAAGATGCATATGTAGTTTGGAAGATATGTTCTGTTATCTATAACCTTTGCATTTTTAGATTTTAGTTTTCAGCAGATTATCTAAATACTGTCGCTTTTCTTAGGTGACATTGAGTCAATGCCGTTCATAGAGGCTCTACGGCAATTGTCCTTTTCTGTTGGTAAGGCCACAACACATGCTGATTGTAAATGGAACATATTAATACTACTTAAGTTTTAACTTTTATTTTTTTCTCCGCTAATAAGAAACTTTACTGAAAACATGAGGAAGCAACTAGTGCATGGTGACCACAGAGGGTGCCGCCTCCTCAATTGAGAAAGAACCAGTACCACAGCTGATAGTCTTAGCAGCCCAATGGGCTAGACTCTAGAGAGTTACAATCTCAAGACACCCAAACAAAGGAAATCGATGAATGCTTAGATAAACCCTGAATAGCTTACATACATACATATAATTAGATATATATGCGTTTTGATTGATACACAAAGGAAATCAATGTTTATACTCCTTAGGCTGATTCTGATTGTTATGCATACAGGTTTATCTTGGGTATCTTTCATATTTATTGCTCATGTTGACTAAAATTTCAAATGCTCTTCACAGGTCCGGATAACTTCTGTCTCATTCATGTCAGCCTAATACCGGTACTCAGTGTCGTTGGAGAGCAAGTAATGCACAATAACTTGCATATGACTATTTGTGGACTTTTATAAGGGCACTGCAATTTAGTTTTCAAAGTTTCTTAGATCGATGGAGCTACAAATTTATATTGGTGTTTCGTCATGTTTTCATGGCTTTCTTTTCTAGTTTTGTTCCTTCTTTGTGGTGACAATAACACTCCGTTACTGTGCAGAAAACAAAGCCTACACAGCACAGTGTACGGGAGCTGAGAGCATTAGGCTTAACTCCCCATTTTTTAGCATGCCGTTCTTCTCAGGTAACCTACATTTAAAGTAGAAAAATAATCATTTTAACTAGTCTCACAGGTTGGGTAATCCTCTATATTCCTTGATAGTACACTTGAGTTAAATTTGACTTAAATAGTTGAGAATCGTGTTCTTCACAGATATATATTTGTACAGAGTTGCCAAATTACCAACTTTTTCGTTGTGCTATAGTGTTCTAGGTTACATTTAAAGAGTTACTTAAAATCATCTGCTTAGTTCTCGTCATTATATAATTATGCAACTTTGATGTGCCAAGATTGAAACCACTTTTTTTTGTGACTATATTGCAGCCTTTACTGGAGCCTACGAAGGAGAAACTGTCTCAATTTTGTCACGTTCCAGTAAGTTTATGCTGAAGTTAATCTCTCAGATCCGTTTTTTAGACAGATTTTTTCTTCAAAAGTTCTGGTATTTACAAGTTCTCGTGATCTCTCAGGCTGGTAATATTCTCAATATCCATGATGTTCCAAACATTTGGCACATTCCTCTCTTACTTAGGGTGGGTTTACTGCAGTTCTTTCTTCTTCTTCTTCCCCCCTTTTTTTTCCTCCTAAGGCCTAAGTGCTGTTCATATTTCATTTGGCGTTATTGTTTGTTTATGTTTGACATGGTTTCTGTTCAGAACCAAAATGCCCATAATTCAATTCTCAAGCAACTGAACTTACTCGAGTAAGTTTCTTCACATTTAAAGATTAGAGTTTGATACTTATGTATATCAGTATGTTCAAAATTAGTCAAGAATTTAATAAGCAAGGTGTATACTTTTCAAGAAGTTGTTTTGTCCGTTTATTGATTTATTTCTTCCGAACTTCAGTTGATTTGATTGTTTATGTTGTTTCTTTTCCCCTCTGAATCCACAACAACAGTGAATGAGTCATATTTACATATATAATTAGTTATAATATGCTAATGGTAGTACAACAAAACTAATTGCACCATCAACGGAGAGGACTTGTAGAATGCAGTAAAGATGACGGTATTAACTTTATTATTGAAATCCTTTCTCAGCATTGCTTCACCACCTGATTTACGAGACTGGACAAACATGGCTGAGACTTATGATAATCTTACAAATTCGGTTGGTATCATAACAGCCCATTTGCGGTAGTTTTGAAACAGTTGTATGTCTTTATGCCATGAGAAATAACTCTTTATCTACAGGTCAGGATTGCACTGGTCGGAAAGTATGTCGGTCTTACGGACTCATACCTGTCTGTTATGAAGGTGCTGTAGCTTTAATACGTCCTCATGTAATGTATTCTATGAAACTGTGATGAACAAATTTGATAGATACATAGAGTTCTCATTTAAGAAAGTTCTTCCTGCTTTGTTGAATAGACTTTTAAAAACAAGTTGGTCAGTTTGACTCGCAGAAGGTAACAACTCTGCTGAAATATGCTTGCAGGCTCTTCTTCACGCTTGCATTGCGTGTTCTCTAAAGCCATCAATAGGCTGGATTGCAGCTTCTGACCTGGAAGAGGATAGTGCAAAACTGGTATTGCTTGAAAGTTACAACTATGGGAGATTTAGGTATGAATTTATCTGTCAAGAATTATCTTATGCAGACTTTTTTCTTTTTCATACAGACACCAGAAGCGCATGCCGCTGCATGGGAAACCCTGAGGGTAAGCGTTATCACTTTGCCCATTTAACTGCCCTCCACTTCCCTCTGTCCTATACATTCTTCTCTTACTGATATGGGGTCCTTGTATATTTGAGATATCAAACGTCACAATCAATACTGTCTTAACGCTATTACTTCCACAGAATGCAGCATGTGTCTTGGTTCCCGGTGGATTTGGAGATCGTGGAGTGAGAGGAATGATGTTGGCTGCAAAGTATGCCAGAGAGAACAAGATTCCTTATCTTGGAATTTGCTTGGGCATGCAGATTTCCGTGATTGAGTTTGCTAGATCTGTAAGTGATTGTGTTCTTTCAACATCACATTTTCCTTTTGTTTTGTAATTTATATGTCGCACTATTGAAATGCTTTGTTTAGGTATTGGGTATGGAAAGGGCAAATAGCGAAGAGTTTGATGATCCAGATGCACCAGATCGATCCAACCATGTGGTGGTTTTCATGCCTGAGGTACGTGTGTGTCGTGGTGTTTTCTTGCATAAAAATTGTGGATGCTTCTTATTTATTCCATGGGTGTTGTTCCATATCCACGGACAGGGTTCCAAAACGCACATGGGAAACACAATGCGACTGGGAACTCGAAGAACGTTATTCCAGACGCCTGACTGTATTACCTCAAAGCTGTATGTGATTTATCTGTTACTCTCTAGCGTCAAAATAATAACGGCCTTACATCATGCATGTTTTCTTTTGCTTCGGGCTTCAGGATACAGCCCTGTCCATCACCACTTAAATCTTCTGAGATAGAGTTCTCTCTCTTGTATCTTCCAATCTTACATATGTCTACTTCTTACTTCTGACAATTTTTAGGTACCATAACACGGAGTATGTGGATGAACGACATCGTCACAGATACGAGGTTATTCTGTAAATTTTATTCCAGATGGAAATATTATTTTACAAGACTTATGGTGTATATATGGTCTATTACTTTGCCAATTTTATGATGCAGGTAAATCCGGACGTTATTGGAAGTCTTGAAGAACATGGTCTAAAATTTGTTGGAAAGGATGAGAGTGGGAAACGGATGGAGGTGGGTTTCTGTTTCATTGGAAAGGGTATACATATATGTCTATTCTTTGTCAAAAATACCAAATTTTTTTTGATAAATTGAACTTCATGCTCGGTAATAAAAGATCGAAGCTCATTGAGTCTAGTTTTGTTCTGTATGTTATTTTCCCTTTTCAGATCATGTTGTAGATGCATGTTCCATTGGTTTCAACTATAGAAGCTTTCGTGTTTTATTTGTGCTGCAGATTTTGGAGATTCCGAATCATCCATTCTACGTAGGAGTTCAATTTCATCCAGAATTCAAGTCACGGCCTCGGAGGCCCTCACCTCTGTTTTTAGGTACCCGCACAACTGATATTCTACATCTCACAAACCATTCAGACCTGAAATCATAGATGTCATAATATTTGCAATCCCCTTTGAAAGTGAGCAAACGTATTTAAACATTCTTAACGTTGCGATTGTAATTTGTAGGTCTTATATTGGCAGCAACAAGGCAGTTGGAAACATATCTCAAAAGGGCATGAAAAGGGACGTTTATAGAACCTTCTGTCTTTAACCTTAGTCCTTAACGAACATTCTCTCAATAGATGAGGGGAGGCTGACGCTTTAATGGCAGACGAAATTCATGGTGCTCACAAAGTGGACACCTAATATGGAGCTTGTTTATTGTTGCTGACTTCAATTTTTCTTGCCCGTTTGGTTTGAAGCTTTAATGTGATTTAATCAGTCGTCTGAAAAGATTTTTGTTGAGGACATTGGGCTACTCCAGGCAAAATTGGATTTTTCTTTTCTTCCTGTTTTATGCTTTTGTTCTTTTATCTTTCTCAAGTAAAAAAGTGGAACACTTTTCACTTTTACCTGTGCATAATATATAAAGTCCAATTATTTGTTGGAAGTGTGTACGGCCAAATAATTATTTGATTACATTGGCTTAGTTTGGTATTATTTTTCTTCTCAAAATCAGCTTCTGTTTGTAGTGAAAGTTAATTTTAGTGTTTAGTAAATTTCCTCAAAAGTGATTCTTGAAGAATTTTTCAAGAATCTATAGTCAAAATCAGAAGCAGTTTAAAGACAATTTTAGCTTTTAGATTGTGCGAGAATTATGATAGTACAATTAATGAAATTTTCATAATACCCTTAATTAAATTTAAAATTTACAATCTTTTCAATCTAAAATTCAGACTCGTAATTAATATAATAATAATATTGTAATAAATAATATCATAATTGTATTAATAACTCTAATATTGTTATTTTATCATATAATATGATATTATAATAATATTATAATTATTATAATAATATGATATTATAATTATTATATATAATATATTATATATTATATTGTATTGATATAAATAATAATGATTATATAATATAATATAATATATTATAATATAATATAGTTGTAATTTTTAATTATATTATAACTGAAATATTAATATTTCTTATGTAATATTATAATATGTTTTATAATATTATAATTATATTGACCATTTTAATAATATTATTATTTATATCATCATTATATTATATGTTATTTAATAATAATTTTATTGTATTATATTGATTTTTGAACTATTACACTGATTTTTAAACTAGCACAGCTACTATAATTATAATTTACCAAATACTCAACTGCTTTTTATAACATCTGTTTTTTCTTTTAGCACAACTAAAAATAATTTTTTCAAAATCTATGGCACTACCAAACTAAGCCATTATTAGCTTTCGCTATGAGAGTTGTGATCTCCCACGACTTCTAGAATATCTGCTGGCAGCAAATTTATTTACACCCCACTCCAATAATTGAATACTTTTGGTTAGTTGCCAATTCTATTTCGATTTGCTATTACCATGAACCAAATATTTGCGTTCTTCTTGTCACTTGTTGATTCTGAAATTAACAAGTTTTACTTACATTTACTCATTAAATCGTCAACTTTTCCATTTACCTTCAGGCTTCAGCCGTTTCATGGAAAAGGAAATGTGTGATTTCTACTTTGTAGATTGGCGTAAGCCGACTCATTTTGGTATTGTTCTGAAAATGAAGAAACAAGTAAACAAACTATTTCCTTTTTGAAATTGCCCACATTTGTTCATTTATAAATTCCGGGCATATATAGAAAAAGGAAATGAAGGTTTACATTTTCTCAAGAAAACCAATATATATAGAGAGAGAATTGAACACCTACCAGGGGACGTACCACCAAGCCCAACCAAAACATACATAGAATAGATATAACGTGCATTGTTATGAGCTGTAAAGGAATCTTCTTTAGTTAAGTAGTTTACTTCCAACATCATCAATTTCCTTTTGTTTGTCGATTAGTTTCAAGCCTTATTGATACATTAAAAATAAATATTAAAAAAAAAAAAACACTGAAACTGAGCAATTTTATGAATCAAAACTCTACTGATCACGAAATATTTATTTATGAAACGATCGTATACATTACTCAGAACTCAACGAAAGCCTCTGGTATCTACAAAATGCCGTGGTACCAAAAAAGAAACTAAAAAACAAAAAAAAAATAGAAGACATATTGAAGCACTCAACATGTGCCTCTGTTAAGCATCTCATTGTACTGCAAATACGAAATCTGTCTCTGCAGCTTAATCTGCTCGTAGAATTTAGCTATAAACTCTTCTGCCCTCGTATCAATATTGTTCTCTTCATTGTCGTTTTCCTCATACGACACATATTCTTCCTCCTCTTCTTCGTCTTCCTCACCGTATAAATTATCTTGATCTTCACCGTTGGTCAGAAAACTCTTCCTCGCACAGTCGTAAACGACGTCGTCATACTCGTCCCGGTCAAAGTCCACCACCGGAGGGTTCAAGCAAGGAATGTGGCTATGGAGGAACCGCATGGACGAGGAGCCGTTAACTTTGACGGCGACGCGTGGGAAGATCGGGGTCCTGTCGAAGGAGAGCTGACGCTCGCCGTAACGGATGATTCCGTGACGACGCGGCGTCGTTTCAATGTTATGATGACCGAGGCCTCTCAATAACTTGGGCAAGAGGCGGAGCTCCGTCGCTAAACGGCGTTTAAAGACACCGCCTTTTCGAGCCCATAATAGCGCCAGCCGCAAAATGTTCCACGCTCTGCGTCCCACGTCGGAGTTTCTCTTCCCCATTTTGATTGATCCAATGTTAGTGTTGATTGTACTAGTACTATAATAAGTCCTCTTTTTTTTTTTGGGAGTTCCTTCTTTTGTGTACGAGAAGTGAAAATTTGAAAGCTTTTTTCTTTGCTTTGTTGGAGTTGAGATTTTTGGGTCTTGAGAGTGGCAATACATATATGTGTGTATATATAATATATGCGTGGGATATATACGCGGTGTGAGTGATTGTCTGCGGGAGAGAGAAGGAAGAGGACAGAGTGTTTGGTGAATTGGCGTTGAGATGTGAACTTCGGCGGTGGGACCCTCCAGAGGGGGACACGCCTGTACGCGGGAGTGATCAAGCTTTTTTGAGTTATTACAAAACTGCCCCCCTTTTTGTCTGCTTATTAAGTATTGTTTTTCCCATCTAAAATCTGCTTCTACTTGTAGCAGAAAGTTGATTTTAGTATTTAGTAAATATCTTTAAAATTACTCTTTGAATAATTTTTTAAGAATCTACAGTCAAAATCAGAAGCAGTCTAAAGATAATTTTAGCTTTTAAATTGCACGAGAATCAACATAATATAATTAATAAAACTTTCATAAGACCCATAATACTCCTAATGAAATTTAAAATTTATAATCTTTTTAATCTAAAATTCAGACTCATAATATAATATAATAATAAATATTCTAACAAATAATACCATAATTATATTAATAATACTAATATTATTATTTTATCATATAATATGATATTATAATTATTTTAATAAAATGATATTATAATTATAATATAATATTATA